GCTGCTTTCAGTAAGGTGTAAGTACGAGCACTTGACTCGGTGGAACCCCAAGGTGCAAAGTCAGCAACAAGTATTGTTTCACCAAAAGTCGAACGGCTGCTTTCAGTAAGGTGTAAGTACGAGCACTTGACTCGGTCCCACCTGTCTCTCGCGGTCTTCGAACCGACCAGCTCCCGATCTCCGAAGCCTCCGGGTCCCGTCGAGGATCGGTGGCTCCGTCGTCGGTGATGGGTCTCCGGGACACCCTGGAAGCGGCCCAGTGACACCAGGTGTCCGTGAATGTTTTTTTTTTTTTTTTTCAGAGGTGGATCCGCTGGGTTTCATGGGAGGCTCCACTTATATCAACACGAAACAGTGCCAAGACAAGGATCACTTGGAAGGAAGACCTACAGGATGAACAGCTGTTACTGTATATGTGCATCCTCAACATCTTCAGGTCCAATGAAACGTCTCCAAAATGATGTCTCATGTCAACGCTGGTTGATCCAGTATTTTGGGTGGAGTCTTCATGTTTTCACACACTCTTTATAGAAGCTTCCGCCTGTTTGGGGTTGCCTCATCGGTTTGGACCTTGGAACCGCAAGGTGCAAAGTCAGCAACAAGAATTGTTTAACCAAAAGTCGAACGGCTGCTTTCAGTAAGGTGTAAGTACGACCACTTGACTCGGTGGAACCGCAAGGTGCAAAGTCAGCAACACGAATTGTTTAACCAAAAGTCGAAAGGCTGCTTTCAGTAAGGTGTAAGTACAAGCACTTGACTCGGTGGAACCGCAAGGTGCAAAGTCAGCAACAAGAATTGTTTAACCAAAAGTCGAACGGCTGCTTTCAGTAAGGTGTAAGTACGAGCACTTGACTCGGTGGAACCGCAAGGTGCAAAGTCAGCAACAAGAACGGCTGCTTTCAGTAGAAGAGTCAGACCTAGAAAGAGAAACGAACAGCAGGAGAGAAAGAAACAAAACCGAGGGGTCTTCCAAACGAGCCTCAAGAGCAACCTAACAAGCCTGAAGAAACACCGAACAAACGAAGAAAAACGCAAGATAGAAATGAAAGAAAAGAGAAAAGGGGGTGGGGAAGGGGGGGGAACCGAACAAATCCAAAGCTGCAAGAAAGCACTCTGTGCATGAGATCAAAGATCAAGTGTATAGCACTTGGAAAATTCCCAATCTGCACGAATGCACTCAACGCATGAATTCAGTCACATGAAGTCGGTAACATGAAAACATTCCGGCGTAAGATTTGCAGTGAAGAAACACCGCGAGCCTGGCGGCTTGAAAGTCAGTTGTCCTGGAGTGTCCGCTGAGCTGTCAATGGTAGTCCGGTGCATGAACGAAGTTTCAGAAAGCATTTCACACGCTGGTTTCGGCGCCCCTTGCCGGGATCACACTGCACACCCAAGTGGGAAGATGCAGCAGGTCACACTTTGATTATATAGTTCCAATGAAGGAACGTAAAGTCCAGTGGATTCCTGTGAGTGCTTAGCACTTGACTCGATGGAACTGTAAGGTGAAAAGTCAGCAACAAGAATTGTTTAACCAAAAGTCGAACGGCTGCTTTCAGTACGTGGTCTGGGGGGGTGAATACGTAGCACTTGACTCGGTGGAACCGCAAGGTCGTAGAGAGGTAGGTTCCAAAATGGAGCTAGACAGGTGAATCGCTCTAAGTAGGTAAAAAAAAGGTATAAAGCTTCCTGTTTGTTTAACTAACTAGAGTAGATTACAAGAGGAACAGAAGCCTCCTGTTTAGCTAGGGAGCGAGACTGGCTCCATTAGAGTAATTAGAAAATGAAAGGGAACCGACAGACAAGTCTGCCGACGAACCCTGCCTCCTGTTTTCGGGCGAGGCGTAAGAATCACCCAGGAGAGTAGAATCGTTGAACAGTCACCGTAGCTTCCAGCTATGACCGCAACTTAACTTAATGGGTAAGTCATCCAGGGACGCTACATGCAGGTACGGGAAACCGGCCAAGTTTCCCTTCCCTCGCTTAGAGTGTCACACGCCCCTGCAGTGTTCAGGATTTTTTTCGTTAGACCCCTAGAGACGGGGTTGAACACACACACACACACGAATTGTCACTGCAAGGTTCGCCATGCTGCTCCACCTGGTTGGGCTGTTGGAGTTTGCAGCCTATAGCCACAATCGGTCACAGAAAATCACACCCAGCCGGTGCATCCAGAAACTGGGGAGTAAAATGTTTTTCTTCCCTTTGTTCCTGTTCCTCCTTTCTCAAAGTCGTTGCTCGGTATGCCATGCAATTATGACCGACAACAGTAAGTGAAGCGTCGGGTGTTTGTTGCTAAGGACGCGGAGGTGCAACAGCTGCGCGCGGAGAACACGGCGCTGCAGGAGAAGCTCCTCTCGGTGGAATGCGAGGACCGCTTCGCTTTGGTGCTGCAGGTGGCTGGGGGTGAACAGATGGTGAAAGGCTCAGCACAGGTGCCAAAGTTGAAGCTGACCCTCAAAGTCCTCAAAACAGGCCGGTCTGCGGCAGCATCTCCCCTCGTCAAAGGCCTTCAACTGGGGTTGCTGTTCAGATGTTAGGGCGGGTATGGGTGGCAGGATGGTACAGGCTTGTTTTGTGCTCCTTTCCTCAGTTGGCAGAACACTTGGTAGAAGAAAGGCTTGCTCTTTTTGCGTCCTGTGCTTGATCGGAGTGGATACAACTTGCAACAGAATCTCCCGTCTCCCTGTGTTGTTCTGTGGCCGATGCTCGCTCCAAGCTCGTACCCTGCAGCGGAGCGGCCGGACCCCAAGTCTGCACACAATTGCTGAAATCATAGGTCAAGCGAAAGAGAGAGAGAGAGAGTGTCGGACACACAGAGAGAGAGAGAGAGATAGGATAGGATAGGATCTAAAAAGTAATAAGCCAGCTAAGCGATTCTAAATAAAAGGTTGGACATGTTCGTTCCAAAAGGTTGAGGACAGGAAACTGCTGAGCAGGATCTATTGGGATGGGAAGTTGTGTAACGCCGATCCAAACCACGCCTAAAACATCCATCCGACCCACCCGGCGCATGTTACGCGTGGCGCGTCATGTTGGTCGTCCAGGAGCCCCCGGTGCCCATTAAGGTGGGTTCGCGCCATGGGTGGATGGAGCCACAGTCAGTCCAGGCCGGACGGACCGCGGGCTGACCGCGGATGACCGCGGTGGCTTGGAAGTGATGCCTGGTAATTCAGTGGTTTTTCAGGTGTACCAGTGTACCAGTACCATTTTAATGATTTTAATGTTGCCACATGTTTAAAGATCCCTGAGGGTTAGTGTGTTGCGGCTTGATAGGGTTGTATTTGTCAACCCTGACCTGACACGAAGAGGCTGTGCAATGTTTGCTCTCACTCTATTCTGAGTGGTGGTTTTAGATACTTTTTCAACAATTTACAACCTTTACTCGGATGATTGAACCATATTGAACCCACTGACAAATATGGCTCAAGTGAGTTGAAGCCATGAAAACGAGTTGATACTTGAATTTGATTCACCCAAGCAATAAATGTTCTACTGTTGAGGATCTCCTGGGAGTTGGTCACGAATTTGGGGCCCAGACACCTGCAGGATTTGGCGTATTGGCGTCACTGCTGGCACCCGGTTTTCTCAGGGTCTCTCCAACCATATCCAACGCCCACATCTTGTGACATGAAACTCATGGATTGATTTTGAAAACTCCCAATGGCAGCAGTTGTTCGGGACGTTTCCAAAAGCATTGGTCGAGATTCTTGGGGTCATTCTGTCGTAGTACAATTGACCCACCACATTGGACATCCCTCAATTTAACGGCGAACACGTTTTCACCGCAAAGCTTTCCTGCACCGGCCTGAGGCGGTTGCGCCAGCTGAGCCTCAGATCGTTTTGACAGAGGAGCTGGCCAAGTTGGAAGATTTTGGTAAGGCGCGAGCAGGGGGCGATGCAAGGCACTTGTGTCAGAATTCATGGCCCAACCCGCAGGTGGTGGTTTCGTTTGGGTGTGCTGGAGTAGCAATGATAATTTTGCCACAAAGTTTGAAGGCGAATATGGTGTTCCACGAGATCCTTCCAAAGGATTCCAACAGGGGTGGTTGCTAGACTCGTTTTGAGTCGGCCAACGGCGCCTTTCTAGATTGTCAGGCTTGCCCAGGGGAAGGATGGAGAATGGTGAAGAAGGGACTACCATCAACTGCGCCCTCCAAGGTCAGTTTCTACTGTGGATGAGCTGGGGAATCTAGAGCACCAAAACACCCACTTGGTGGAGTCATACTGCGAGGTGCATTTCATTTTTGAATCGACCCCCGTGGTAGGGTTGGAATCCAAACCTGCAGGCATCTGCAGACACTGGGGGGGCCGACGATGTTGGAAGACCCTGTTCGCACATCATGGCCTGAAGAAGATTCATCCTCCACCATCCGCAGGAGACTCCCATCCACCCCGCGGGTGACATGGCGAGCCTCCATTTGGGCGACTCTTATCTCGCGCTTGGAGAGGGCGACTCTAAGAGTTATGTTGTGTTCTTTGCGATGGATTAGAGAGGTATAGAGAGGTTAACCAAATATGCAACCAATGTCCAAATACATTTTGGGAGGACATGGCGTTTTCTAGTTTGTCATCCCCACAGCAAGACCCTGTTCCCGCAACAGCTTTGATGACCCCAGACCCCGGTCGCTGGAGTCCAAGCCCGTCTCGAGACCCCAGGCAGATGTTGTGGGAGAAAACTCAACCCCCAAAAGAGGAGGATCTCTCCAGATCAGGAGAGAAGAACACCTTTCTGATTTCAGGTGACAGTGGGCCCAAGAATCAAAAGAACAAAATGGCCGAACTGAATTGAACCACTTGGTGACACCTATCAGTCGCAATATGTGCCGACCCCACTTGATGGTTGTATATTTAGAGTTGAACGTTTAGGGTTTGAGGATTTGGGGATGGGTTGGGTGTAAAACCTGCAACATGTCATCCGTGATCATCCAAAGCACCTTGGCCCTGGGCACCTGTTGCTCCGGTCACTTGGTCCCACCTTTCGTTGGATGAGGATTCCTCAGTGCTGGCAGGTGCCTGGAAGGACTGGGTGGGGTTGGAAGGAGGACTTAAATTGGTTGAAGAATCCTGCCCCAAAAAAACAACAGCAGGAGAAACAAGAAGGTGGTAAGTACGTGACACACCTGAAGCATTACCCTTTACGAACAGAGCATTCCTACCCTCACCCTCAACATCCCTCGGGGATCCTGCACTTGGGCAATTACAGTATTCTTTCTAAGAGTCAAGTAGTTAAGGTTCACTCGGGGTGAGCATGTTTGGTAGCATGGCTCATTTTCCAGTTTGACAGTGCATGATCCATGCCCCTCTCGCATGCTTCCGGAACTCGGACAGCGAGTGGCCGCTTCCGAAGAGCTCAAGTCACAGGCGCTTGAGGATCCGGTCGCTCTTTTGGGGCGATGAAGCCGCTTGCAGAAACATGTTGAAACAGATGCAACAGGGATGCGGTCGTGGTTCCCGACCCAGACCACTACACCTTCGAAACGTGTCTTTTTGGTGTCTTTTCGCGCGCCTGCAGACCTTCCAACAGTGTCCCGTCACACGCCTGATTTCAAATCAACCGGACGGATTGGTCCAAACACTGCGTTTGGTCGGGTTTTGATATAAATGATTGGTCCAAAAACACGACCAATCCGCCTGATTGGTCTCTGTTTTCTTCGTTTCGATGTTTGCACCCAAACGGTTTGGCTCTGTGGTTTTTTTTGGCGGCCCAGACCGCAGGATCCAGAGACGCCCAGCCGCGCCTTCGGGGAGAACTCATCCGCCTGCCCCAGCCCGGCGGAGGGCAACGGAAGCTACTATAGTGCCCTTTGGATGCAGCTGAGGGGCATCGCGAGGCCTGCGAGGCATCGAGTTTCTCGGTGAAGGCTGCAAGGCCTGAATCATCCAGGCGCCACACTGCTGGACGGCCCACGGCTGGATGTTTCAGCCCGGCCACCCCTGGCATGGCTTGACTCGTCTCGGCTTGACAGACCTCTCGGGGCCACAGCTTCTCGCTCGTGGCCTAGGTCCGTGCGATTTTCTATGGCATCCAGCGGCTCTCCTTCCCGCCGGGCGTCGCAGGCGATGGCAATGAGGGACCGATCGGAGCGCCGAAAAAGACCGTGAGTGACATGTTGGAGGCGAGATGAGGTGAGTGTGTGATGTAATCTGACGCACTTAATGTAAAGCATGCAAGAGGGGGCGGCCTTGGGCCAGGTTTTCATCCAAGATCCTGTGCCAGGAGTTTGTACACAAAGGATCACAAAGGCTCGTTTAGTTGTGGCGTGGTGATTTGCAACATCCAGTTTCCAAAGTGCTCACACCGGCAAGCAGTTTGTGCCCGGACGGCTGCCGCTTAAGAGCTTACACCAGAAAAAACAGCGTTCTTGTGTAAACTCTACTCTCGAGGAATCCGATGGCACTGTTTGCAACTCGTGGAGATGCCATCTCCCAACATTTGCCGCAGATGCGCAGATCCGATGACACTGTTTGCTTCATCTATATTCATAGGCCCCTTGCAACAAACTCTTCGACCGTAGAACTATATATATGTATAGGTCCTGCCTCACCCTTGGGCAGAGTGTTCAAATTTTCTCGCCCTAAAATCACCTCATTCTTTCCAGGTTGGCCTTCCAATTGGTTGCCTGAATTCGGTCTAGTAAGTTTGGGAGCCAGGCCAACAGGGTCAGCCACTCAGCCACGCGGAACGGACAACATGGGACTCTCCATTTCTCGTGGGTTTCACTATCCTTATAACCTGGATTAAAGCTAACTCTAATGAATCACAATTAAAATCACAAAATCAAAAACAAAAACACATGATAAAAGACATTGCAGAACTAATGCAAAGACAATGCAAACCGAATGCAACAGAAAACGCATAGAATAGTGCATTCCTTGTTGCTTTCCCCTGGCTGGCCAATAATTACTGGATAGGGCATATACTAAAAATATCCTGGTCTATTCTCAATGTGCCTCTTGCGTGATGTGCTCGCCTTTGTCTATGCCACATGCAGCCTCCCGGTTACCTGTTGCAGTGCCTTTTTTACAAATGCTGTCTTCCCTTTCTTCCTCTGGAAGTGCTGGTTTCTATCGCAGACTGTCCAGTCTGGTTGTGTTTTTGTGTGACTGTCCTATTTTCATGCCTTTTTTCTCCTCCTTGTTTGTTTTGTTTCTGCACTTGTTCTTTGTTTCTTATTTTGGGGGCGGTGGCGTATTGCTTCCTAAATATAATTCTTAACTTTTTTAGACTTTGCTTCTTAGGCAGCTCACAACACTATCCGATGTTGTACCATCCGATGAGATGATCAATGTCGATGAGAAGTGGAGCCGTCCAACACGGCCCCTTTTTGGTTTTACAGACAGGCATGTGGTGATTGGATATCATGACATGATACGACTGATGCTTGTAAAATGACAGTTGTTGAGCAAAATAGTTGAATCTTTGCCGTTTTCTCGGTTCATCCCCCACCATGAATATCATTGTAGGTTGGGTTTGTCTTATTACCAGTAACAGTCAGTAAACAATTACCACTATTTAGAGAGAAGGGCCTCTACTAACCAACAACATCCATTGATACTGAAAACGGGGTAGACCCAAATTGTAGGGAAAACCCGTGACTGGCATTGTTTTATCATGTTCAGTAGGTGCACCCCCATGCCGTCGGAGGTGGAACATGGTGGAACCCTCAGAAGACAATTCTCCTCTACATGTTTCATCATGTTTCGCTTCATGTTTGCAGGGAAGGTCAGGAGCCACCAAAGTATTAGCACCCTGTTTCTGCCTCTCACCTGAACCTCCCGAGTTTCGGGTCAGGTTTGACAACGACGACGGATGTCCGTGCCACGGTGATGGTCACCTGTGGCGAAATGTCTGGGGCAACCAGAGCTGTTTCTCTGCACCAGGAGACTGCAATGGCAGGCGAATTGGTCCATAAAATCACAGGTCTTCGCGATGCGTTTCGGGGTTAGCAGTCCACCCCATTCCACTCCTTGGGTGTTTTGGGGGGGGCCGACGTTCTGGTGGCAGCCAGACTGAGTGAGAGAGAGGACGGGCAATGGACCAATGCAGCTGTTGCACATGTAAACTCCACTGAACATAAGGGAAAAAAAACTTTGGGGTATGGGTTGGGTCGACGTTCAGAAGAGGAATCGGTACCCTCAGATTGAACCAATTAGGAGAGGGACCAATGAAGCTCCCACGGATCATCCCAGAACCACCAGTTGACCTGGGACGAGGTCGTTTAATCATGCAGCAGATCAGTTGTACTTGTACCCTTAAATCCTCCTACAATGTTTACATCTTCCCACGATTCTGTGCCTGTGGTCCTCTTTCTATGCACAAGGAAAACACACATGGTCCAGGAAGAAATCTACCAGAGCTGATTGAGGTAACCTAAGGCTAAAATTGGCCCTCAGGATTTCAAGATTTTCTATATTGGTAACCTATTTGGCTCAAATAGGTCTGGAAGGACCATCGTGGCGCTCCGCTGCGCAGCTGGGCCCCCGTTTTTCCCCAAACAGTGTGTCCACACCAGTATACCAGGACCCTCCTGTCGGGGTGCCCTGTCTGGAAGCCTTTTTCGGTCGTGTGGGGGGGGCGGCTTCCAGCCAGGACACCCCTTGGAGGAGGGTCCAGGTATGTGGAGTCCAGCTTTGACCCCGAGGCTGTTTGGTAGCTTCATTCATCTCTATGTTTGCATGACCCCTCCACTCAATAAACATTGGAACGGGGGGGTCACCTACAAAATAGTTGTTCGCAATTTAATTTGTTTGTACTCCGACAATTTGTCGACAATGTTGGCAAACACCTAAGTCGGATAAAAAAGAAAAATTAGCATTCTCCCGGTGTACTTGGGTAGTTAGGGACGGGTGTTTGATTGAGGTGCTCATAGGCGTTTGCGGCTAATTCGCTGCTATTTACAGTACATTCATTCACCTCGAGATCTTCGAAGTGCATTTCGACCGCGCAGGCTCACAGAATCTGGTGGGCTAGCGCGGGTGCTCTTCGGGACTCCACTCTCGTTGTGGTGCCGTGCGCACTTGGTGATCACTTTTCGTGCCAGGTGCCAGGGAAACCTCTTGTTTTTGGTGGTCTAAAGTCAACTTGTCGTGACAGGTGCAGAGCGGCTTTATGTCGATGATTGTCGATGCACAGATATTCGTGGCAGGCGTGGTGCTTTGGACAGGGTGGTGCTGGGGTGCTCTGAATCAGTGATCTTTGTGACTTTTGGACATGTGGCTCGTTTCCAGAAATCGGAAAGAGTCTCGAGCGAAACCCGCGTTTTGGCATCTTGATGTCGTCTCTAGACTATAGAAGTGCTCTTGGTGGGAATCGCCTTGGCAGGGCTGCGCGATGTGAATCTTGATGTGCAGATATATTTCGTGGCAGGCGCAGCACCTTGTGATCCTTGAAGTGTAGGGCTTGTGGCACGCGCAGTTTAGGCGCAGTACTTTGTGGACCTCGAAGTGCGGCGCAGCACTTTGTGGACCTTGAAGCGCGGATTTTGCGGCAGGCGCAGCATTTTGTGGACCTTCAAGTGCCATTTTTTGAAGCGAGGACGACGCGCAGCGCACGTGCCATCTTTTGCGAAAAAGGCATGTGTGAGGGACGCGCAATCAGAGATCCGGCCCTCTGTTGCCCGCCAACTCGGCATGCTCCCTGACAACATTTCCCCCAAGAAGCCTGGGTTCTATCACGCGTGGCAACACCGATCCATGCTGCCTATGGTTGTCCTCACCACATCAACCTTATGCAAGGGCATGCTGGTCCTAGGTCCTAGGCCCGACCCTGCCCAGTGGGCCAATCACCCTCAGAGACAGTTCCATCAAATTGACTTGGTCGACGAATAGCTCAGAGCATCACTAGAAGCAGTTTCATGCGCTGCCCTTTGAAGTTGTTTTTGGTTAGAAGTCACATCGGTGGCCGTGTTGTGTTTAGCCCAACAAAAGTACTCCAGCCAATCTTTACAGCGTCGAAAAGATTTAACTTCGGCGCCGATGAAGGCCTTGGTTGTTGTTTGGCATTCCAGACATCCTTTTCATACTGGCGAACAAAGGATCAAAAAAAAGCGATTCGATCCAAAAGGAACTCGTTTTGAGGTGGGCGCTGCCTTGCTCATGCGGGCAATGGCAGCAGAGAGTCGGGAAGCCCGAGCCTCTGCCCTCGACATGCTCGACGCCCTTGATGGACACTTCAACCGAAGCTGTCCAAGAACACAACCGCACAAACATCTGCAAGAGGAACGAAACGTTCCTTGTTGGCGGGCGGGGGGGGCCTGCAATGGGATGGTGTCATCCCAGCGCTGGAACCGAAGCTTCGCTTGCGGGAGGCGCCTGGACGGTCAAGGCACTGGAAAATGCTCGCTCATTAACAAAAGATGCCACCCGTGACACCCAAACCTTAGGCTTTCTGTTGTGATAGCGGTGGCGGGCCAGGAGAACCAGTGCCTTTTATGAATGCGGAACTTCGCTCGCAAACTTGCTGCCTGGAGAATTTCAGTCCGGTGGTTCAGCCTTCAGACATCACCGTCTGGGAGGCAGTGGAGTTGTCCTCGCACCTTTGGGCAATCCCAAACAACGTGATGATTTGCATCATGGGAGGACTTCTTTGGTGATTGAGATGCGTGTGATGTTCAGAAGTGGTTACAAAATAGTGTTCAATGTCCATCCTGAAACGCTCTCCACTGCTACCCCTGCTAAAGGACTGGGCATCACCGTGCTGGCCGGCGGCGACACAATGTGACGACAACGTTGCCATCTCCGAGTGTCAAGCCCTGACCGCCTTTATTGGCCAAACAAGCAGCTGTCGACACCCTTCTATGGGACAAGGCTGCTGAAGTGCAAGAAGTTGCCAAGGACGAGAGACACGCAAACGCACGCGACCAAGAGATACTGTTTTGAAATTGACAGACCGATATCTACATCATGTGTCCTTTGTGTACTTGCTCGTTTTGCATTCTCTGCGAGGAGTGGGGCAGCCCCCCTTCGAGGTACACAATACATTGTTGAGTACTTGGTGGATGGCTTGGGTTTATGGAATGTATATATATATATATGTGGTTGTTACAAGATGTTACAAG